TTTACCAAGTTTTACAAGGGTGGGAATCGAACCCACCATGAGAGAGGAGGGAAATGCACTCCAAGGCAGCCCTAAGGCCGCTTGACCCGAAAAACCAAGTGCAATCTATTAAATATGTTTATGTATGCCTATTTTCTAAATTTGTATTACATACCCCTTTCTAAGATTTTAAGCTCGTAAGTTCATTCACTTGACTCCCATCTCCCTTCCCAACCCAAAAAATGAAAAATTGCTCTGTTCCTTTTTTTAAAAAATAAAAATAAAAATGAATATTTGCTAGCTCATGAATATTCACAATAAGATTCTTTGTATCAAAAAATAAAAATAAAAATTAAAAATAAAATCCAACAATTTATATAATGAACTAAAAATCAATAGACTTCACAATGCTTCGTCCCCCCCCAATTTCCATCCCCCTCCCTTGATCTGAACTTCCTTCTAAACTTGGATTATAGGAACAGTCTAACTATAACTGGCTTCGGGTGCCTGCTCAGCCTCACCGCCTTCCTCATCATTTTCCCCCGTTAGCTCCTCCAGCGATTTCCCCTTGGACTCAGGTACCAGCAAAGTGAATAGTATCCCAAAGAAGTTGATCACACCTAGCACTATGAGTGAATTTTTCACTCCAATACCAGGTGGGTACCCTGCATCAGTCTTTGCTGGATCCTTGCTCTGGGCAGCGTACAAAAACCCAAATGCACCAACTATAGCCCCTGCTTTCCCCGCAGCAGCAGAAATACCATGGCAAGTAGACCTTAGCCTAGCCGGAAAAATCTCAGCTGGTACAACAAATGTAGTGGCATTTGGCCCAAAATTTGCAAAGAAAAATGTCAAAGAGTACATTACCAAGAACCCAATTCTGTGAGACTTTTGTGTCCAGTAATGGTAAGGAATGGCAAGAGCAAACATGAAGACTGTCATGAAGAAGAAACCCATTAGCTGAATTGTGAATCTGCCCAAGCAATCTATAAATAGCACTGTAAACCAATACCCAGGAACAGTTCCACATAGTGCAATTAAAGTTTGTGCCCTGGCTATAAGATAAACTTCCTGGATTGCACTCATGGTCTCAGCTGAGGGGATCCAGCCAATGGCGCTAAAGATGTCCTTTTGGAATAGATTTGAGCTGTAGTAGGCAATGTCTAACAAGAACCAAGTAGTGGCAGTACCGATGAGGTGGAGTCCATGCCGGCGAGCAAATTCCTTGGAGACTAGACCGAAGGAATTAGAAGCATTTCCCCGATATATCTCTACTTTGTCCTCTTCAGGTAGAAGGTTCACCTGAAGCAGCTTGGACATGTCTTCAGCAGCCTGTCTTGCATTCCGCGCAACCAGGGCAGTGTAACGAGCTGTTTCCGGCATCTTCATCCGCCAGTAGTAAGTTAGTATGGCTGGTACTGCTCCGAACATTAGGATGATCCGCCAGATGTAGTCAGTTTGGGATGGAGTAGAGGCTATTGGATCAACAGAGTATGGAGGGGCCTTGAATGCGTGATCAAAAGCGCTTGACACAATCAAAGCAACAATCCCACCTGTCGCCAACAATTGCTTTTAATCAAGTCGGTATGCACTGACTTCTAAATTTTATTCTCAAAATTAAGGATTTGTAATAACTAAGGACGCTAATTTCTTCATACTTCAAAAAGAAAAACAATCCCACCTGCCAAAATCCCAAATCCTTGCATTGCAAAAACTGCAGCAATAAATGCCCCACGTGTCTTCTTGTTAGCATACTCTGACATGATGGTAGCAGAGAGAGGATAGTCGCCACCAATGCCAAAACCGAGCCAAAACCTGAAGAAGCAGAGTGATGCCATGACACCCTTTGCAGAATGTCCAAATGAGAACCCAGATGCAATGGAGCAGACTACCATGAGCATAAGGGTGATGCCATAGACATGTTTCCGCCCCAACTTGTCACCAAGCCAGCCAAAGAATAGCTGTCCGGCCAGAGTGCCGCAGAAGGCAACACCGTTTACTGCAGCTGCCACATTTGGAGGCAGTGTTCCGGGCTTTTCAGCACCATCAACATGGTAGTATATGCGGCCCAGCAATTTGGTGACAAGGGAAATGCTGAATAGATCATATGCATCAGTGAAGAATCCCATTCCGGCAATCACAATTGCAGTAAAATGGTACCATTGTGTCTTTGCAGCGTCAAGTGTGTCAAGAACTCCTAGTTGGTCTCTAGCCATGCCTAGTTAGGAGTTCAGGCTGTTCAGCAGTCTTACCTATCCTCCCTGAAAATTGCTTCTTACGCACTTTCCCTGCACAGATAAAAAAAATTAGAAAATCCATATGATCCTTAGTTATTCCATTCCGTACACACGGTTTGGTAGCACCATCTAACTTTTCTCATTAATCAAACAGAAATGAAAAAGAAAGGATACGACTCAAAACACCTAACATATCCCACCACATAATTAAAATGCCCCTCAGTTTACTTTAGAGATACAGATTCAGGAAGATCACAGCATAAAGCATTGCAGCTTGTGCATTTAAATGTTAGATCAACAAATCAATTATCAGTTTTACATGAATTAGCACACCTCCTAAGAATTTGGGGCACTCAACCTTTTCTCTGAGATGCAGATGTAACTGACTTTTCGACAAGGGAGAGAGCTGCTTCTTGATTTTGCAAAAAGTTTAACGTAAAAAGATTGGGAAAAGAGTTTGATTTTTAAGTTTGTACGTACCTAATGTGAAGGCAGTAAGAGAGAAGAGGCCCCAGCAAGAATGCATTTATGAACTAGAAGCCAGAATCATTTATGGCATCTAATAGCATATACTTATTCTTTTATGGCATCTAATAGCATATACCATCTTATAGTTTTCTAAGTCAATAACCTTTACCTAATGAAATTAAATTAAAATCCTAAGCGAACATGACACCATCAGCTAAATCTTCACAAATGATTAATTTATTTAATTTTATATGTCTTTTTTTTTTTTTTACAAGTAGTTTCAGAGCAATTCAAGTACAGCCAATCAAGAAAAAAAAAAAGAAGAACAATTCAGGGACAGAGCTCCGGAGTTGCTCTTTCTGTGACTCTCAGCTGATTTTGTCCCACTAAAATGCAAAATTCTCAATCCAGTTCTGGTTTCAACTCACTGAGTACTGCAATTTTGAAACCAAAATTTTCATAATGATGCAATTCTGGGAGAAAAACGAATCAATGGAAGTATAGTAGACACTTGATCAAATTAAATTTTGACAAATATGCTTCTTTATGGATTGCTTGTTACATTAAACTGGTGTACAGGAGCCCACACAGGATGACAACGGACACGTGAAACTTTATCTGTTCAGTTGTAGGTAACGTAGAAAAGATGAATAACAACTGCATTAAAGAAGAAAAGACAAAGGAAGTCAAAATCTAACATATTGATCCACTGATTGAAAATGAATCATTTACAATAAATTAACAAACTTATAGATATGATCATGTGAAGCTTTATCCCTACACCATGCAAATAAATCTAACCTTGTACCACTGAAACACAACTATCCCCTTGACCAGAAAACAAACTTATCCTTGAGCAGAATTTGAAATCTATCGAAAACAGATATGATCAACTGGACTAGGTTCATCTTATCAATTAAGCTATATTACCAAATAATGGCAATATGAAGCCTAATAACCAATAAAGGAACTATCATGTACCTTTCATATTCAAATTAGAAAAAAGTTAGGAATTATAATGATAACCACTGTAAAATGATATCCAACCCCAAGAAGAAATCTAAAGTTTGAAAATTTCTGAAAAGTTTACATTCTAGGCTGGTCTGTATGGTATTTTACCCTGATCAATCATTGATCTTATCAAAATGAATACCCTCAGAATATGTGAAAGGGAAATGGTGACCATCTGGTGAGACATTTACGATTCATCCTTCTCTTTTACTTTGATGTGCTGTTTTTATTTGCGTCCAACAAGAGATTTGCCAAAAGAAGATAACCTGCAAACAAGTAAGGATGTAGTCCGGGTTTCACTTAATGTATGTACCTGAGAGGGTAGAACAATTTCTTCCATTCTTATCAAACGATTAACAAATTCTAAGTGCCATGAAACATAGCAAGAAGTGTAGTGGTGCACAATTAGCTTTGAAATTTAGAGACAGACTCAATGGGACAACAAAAACCATCTTTTTTGCTACAGATCTCATTTTTTAATCAATAAGAGGATAAACTGCTTCTCCCCAAACTTAGGGAGCTCTTAATATATATATAAAGCCAGATCACTTGCAGGTCATAATAAAGAAAATATTTCAGTCATTGATATCATTTTATGCTGATGTTGCTCAAAAATATCCATTCACAAGAGATATCATCAAATATATATGACATACCCAGGTGATTTGTGGCAGAATGAAGTTCTAATACTGTCTTTGGAAAGCTTGAAAGGAGTCCCCAGGTTTCCTGCATCATTACCGACAACAAAAAGGATAAATCATGTGGTTACGTATAAATAGGTAAGCAGACAGCAGCGTTGACGATCATATAAATTATAATAATTGAGAGAATTATGAAGAAAAAGATGAGAATGATAGTAATCCATGTCTCTACCCTAGAAATGACAAGTGGAAAATGTTACAAGTCTTACAACCTTTTTCTTACATCAGGAGGTTCAATGAATGACCTGAGGAATTGTAATCTGAGGCAAATTTCCTCACAGATGCCAGTGAGCTGAGATCCAACTCCATGACATCAACTTTAGCAGAAGAGATTTCCTTAACAATTGCTTCTTTTACATCTTTACCAGCAACCATATCTCATACCACCATAATTACACGGACACCATGCATGGCAAGAATATGTTCACTTTTGATGCCAAAGCCACTAGATGCCCCTATAATCACAATGGTTATGAAAGAGAGACTATACCAGTTAGTAAGCACACGAAATTCTTGCAGGAAAACAACTCAGAAGTAATTTTACTGACCAAGTCAGCAGCAATTAATTTGTATAACATGAACACTATATGGAGAATGAAGAGAACAGATATGAAGCCCACATGAATTTGTTCAATGACAACAACAAAAAGAAAAACAAGATTTCCACTGCTAATACCTCACCAAAACAAACAAACAAACAAAAGAAGAAGAAGAATAAAGAAAGAGGGAAAATTCACGCAAATTAGAAAACAAGAATACGTTTGGTAATATGATGTGCTAGGTAACAAGACCATGATAAACAATATCCTAGTTTATGGTTGCAACACATATATCAGGCCAGTCAAAGACTCCAATGAGGGTATCAATCCCATTCAATCATTTTCAACAAGAATATAAAAATAAAAAATAAAAGAAAACTCAGAAAGAGAATGATAGCAATGTGTTTATTTGTTCAAATTAAAGCCTTTTATGTTTTATTCAGTTAGTACTTTATAGTAATACTCTGTGCTACAGAGGGCTGTGTGTAGCAGCCATATAAAAGGCCAGCCAAAAACTGCATTTTAGTTATGTCATTGCAGAAGTAACTTCCTGTTAAAATCTTTTCTTCAGTTTCTAATCAATTCTTCTCTATTTCTTCCCCAAATTCTTTCTTGAAACAACTAGGTTTAATAAGAAACAACCATGTAGAGTCACATGAAACATCTAGGTATAGTAAACATAATTCAAAATGAATCATTACCTTGTATCAAAAGCTTCAGAAGATTGTCCTAGGCATTTCACCTGTGACCACTATCACAACCTTTTCAAGCTGTGCAAAGCTTTACGAGTTATGACATCAGGCATAATTCCCATCTTTGTCATTTCTATAACAAGCCTGAATGCATCATTGATTCTATTACACTTCACATATCCTTGGATCAATATGGTATAGCAAACTAAATCAGGTAGCAAACCCATAGTTTCTAGTGAGTTAAAGACATCAACTGCCCTTTCCATTTCCCCTTGCAAACAATAACCATGAATTATGAGACTAAAAGTAATTAAGTCAGGCTTCACTCCTTTCTGATTCATCATATCAAGAATTTCATGAGCTTTTGACATCATCCCTTTTCTGCAAATAGCATCCAACAATATGTTAAAAGTTACAACATCTGGTAAGATATCATGGTTGACCATTCCATCCAGAAAGTTTGCTGCTTCCCTCAATAGTCCTGAATGGCGCAATCCACATGATAATGAGTTGTCAGTGATGATATTAGGTTCCAAAATCCTTTCAATCATTAGCTCCAATACAGCACGAGCTTCTTGAATTTCTTTATCCTTGCAAAGAGCATCAATTACAGAACTGAAAGTTACCACATCTGGCAGGATCCCTTCTTCCATCATTTTCTTAAACAAGTTTGTGGCTTCTTTCCATTGGCCTAAATGACATAACTCATTTAACAATGAGTTGTAAGTAATAGCATTGGGCTTCAAACCCCTTTCATTCATTTGCTCCATCATGCCAAGGGCTTCTTTGGTTCTCCCTTCCTTGCAAAAAGCATCAATTATGGAACTCAGGGTTACCACATCTGGCAAGGTTCCTCCTTTCATCATTTCATTAAACAAGCTTGCAACTTCCCCCCATTGACCTGAATGACAAAATCCATGAATCAGTGAGGTGTAGGTGACCACATCCGGTTTGACAAAATCCATTACTTTCTTCATTCGGACAGCTTCAGTCATCTGGCCTTCTTTGCACAAAGCATTTATCATTGAACTTAATGTTAAGACATTAGGCAAGACTCCACAATTAATCATGTTTTCTAGGTACTCTTTGGCCTGTCTCCATTCACCTGACTTGCACAAACCACAAACCAAAGAGTTATAGATTACAACATTAGGCTTTATGTCTGTTTGAGACATTGAATCAAATAGAACGATTGCGTCTTTGGTCTTCCCTTCCTTAATAAAAGCATTAATCAGAGTGCTGAAGGTGTACTCATCTGGAGAAATTCCCATTTCAATCATGTCAGTCAAAAGGCTCCTGGCTTCTTCCTGCTTCCCCTCAGCACACAACCCATGAATCAACGAATTATACAATACCACGTTAACTTTAAACAATCCAGTACCAGTACCATTCGTCTCTCTGATTAGACCAAGTGCCTGGTGAGTGTTCCCTGATTTACAGAGCCCATTAATAAAAATACTACAAGTAAAAGCATCACATGGGTATTTCATATCCACTATTTTCCAAAACAACTCCATGGCCTCATTAATCCTACACTCCATGAAGAGCCCACGAAGCAGGGGATTCATAGAATAAGGGTTAGGTTGAAGACCACGTTTAACCACCACTGCCAAGACAGAGAAACCCAAATCCACCTTGTTCAAATTGCAGAAGCAATTGATCAAAATGTTCAATGTACAGATATTGGGTTTGATTTTATCACAACTCAACAACTGTTTAGACATGAAAACTACAGTAGAATACTCTTTCATTTTGGAAACATCCCCAAGCAGATGATTGAAAGCCCAGATAGAAGGCAAGTGGCGCCTACGAATCATGGAGTGGAAGGCACTCAAAGCTTGGTGAAGCTTAAGAGACCCAGATTCAGCCTTTGCCTTGCTCCAATTCTTACAAATGAAAGGTCTTAATTTTTCCATTTGGTGAAACAGAGGTAGCAGAAAAAAATGAAAAATGGAGTCCTGACAGAAGAGAGATTAGAGAATTACCAGGGAACGCCCGCAAAGAAGCTGTCCTGCTGTTGGTATGAATAGCCAAGCCCATAGCAACTGCACTCCAATTCAATGTTTTGTTTCTCTTCCAGAAAACCCAAGAAAAATGGGGTTTGAAGTTAGAAATTAATCATCGTACTTCTCCATTGGGAATCTGGATTCTAATGATTTCTTCTTACAGGTATGTGGTTTGGTTACAGTGGCTTTGCTGCTTCTACAATCACCGTACGCGCGGCACCCTTCCCACGCCACAACCACTTTCTGAATCTCCGTTACACTACATAAACCCTACTGACTTCGGGGTTTTGGAAGGCAAACAGAAAGGGAACGTGGCTCATCATTTACAATTTTTTTTTTGCCAGGTGAGAATGTGGGAGCCACAATATGTCCACGTGGCCAGCCAGCGTGGCAGGGGTTCATCCAATTTAGCTTACGTCAGTAAAAGAAGAAACCGGCGAAAAGGGCTAATCAGCTTCTAAACTTGTTTTTGTGAAATATCTTAACGAAGTTGTTTTATTCGAGAGGCATTCAGGTCTCTAAGTGGCTTAGAATTGATTTTGAAATTCCATCTTTTTATAGAATTATGTAAATCCTCATTTTTATGAAGAGCATCTCTGAGAAGCAAAAAAGAATTGTGGAAAAAAGTTCATTAACGGAAAAATGTGTAATAAAAACACATTTAATTTAAGGATATAAATTAAAAAAAAAATTAATCTCTCTGTTAACATAAATAACTTAAATAATTTAACGATGAGCTGTAAGTCATTATATTAGGCTTTAAGTTCAAATCACCTTCCATCATTAGCTCCAACAAGGTAAGGGCTTCCCCTTTTTTCTCCCTTCTTAGCAATGTGCATCAATTAAGGAATTGAAAATTACAAATTTGGCATAATTCCATCTTCCCTTATTTTTTTAACAAATTTGTGGCTTCTCACCATTGAATGACATAAACCATTTAACAATGAGTTATATAAGTTATCACATTAGGCTTCAAGCCCCTTTCAATCATTAACTCAAGCATGGTAAGGACTTCCTTAGTTTCCCCTTAGCTGCAATGTGCATCAATTAGACGATTTTTGATACAGTAAGGATCCATTAAACCTCTCAATCATTTTCTATCAATAGTCACCGCAAGAGAAAACTCCATCCTTAAAATGATGGTAACGAATAGGATCTCTGATGACAATAAGGCAATTCTCCATTTTTGCTACAAGCTTTGCGAAGGTATGATAGTCTCCATAGATCCTAAGATTTTTCCTTATGCTAATGGCATTCCCCCTTGAAAAGCTCATTAAACCAAAGACAATAGCCAATTTCTCACTCTGGTATCTAAGTGAGTCTTCTCTTTGTTCCCCGCAAGATCTTGCAAGACAAAATTGGTGTCTGGAACATAACTGATTTCCATCAATTCATGAATCAAGCAATTCAGCTACCTGTTGATATCTTTAATTTGTGGATGTGAGTTATCTCCTAAAATGAAAGCATGAATCTGCTTATTCACTTTGATCCAATTACACCCTAGCTCTTTTGTGATTCCCTTGTCTCTCATTGCCCTCCTAATTTCTGAGACATCCTCCCATCTTTCAAAGTTTGCATAAATATTAGACAGCAGTATATATGTTCCTGAATCTTGGGGATCTAGCTTAAGAATCTGTTTTAGCAACATATATAGCTAGGTCCACATTTTGATGACCCTGCACGCCCCAAGTAAAGTTCTCCATATCACAGCATTTGGTTCACATTTCATTTCTTGCATCAAATTCTGTGCCTCGTCAAGCTTCCTAGCCTTTCCAAGAAGATCGATCATACAACCATAGTGTTCCTTTCCAGGATCAATCCTAAAAAGGTTTTTCATTGATTGAAAATAGTACAATCCTTCTTCCACAAGGCCAACATGGCTACAAGCAAACAGAACCCCAAGAATAGTAATATAGTTTGGCTTTATTCCTGAAACTTTCATTGACTCAAAAAATTTTAGTGCACCTTGGCTTTGCTCATTTTGGGCTAATCCTGCAATCATGGTACTCCAAGAGATCACATCTCTCTCTGCCATCCAATTGAAGACGAACTTTGCATCTTCCAAACCACCACACTTGCAGTACATATGCAAAAGTGCATTGTTGAGTATCAAATCTTGATGAAACTTAAACACATGAACTTGCACTTGTCTCTCCACTTCAAGTAGGGCTAACCAAGTGCAGGCTCTCAAAACACTGGTCAGTGTAGATTGATTTGCTGAAAAACCATCTCTCTTCATTCTCCTATATTGATTTAGAGCTTCATCACCATCACTGTTTTGAGCAAAAGCCCAATAATCGAATTCCAAACCACCAAGTCCCCTGTCCTCATCTCATTCAAAACATAGAGTGCATCCTTTAAATCCCTTTCTCAACTCTTTCCTTATACCAATTTCTTTCCAAATTAAACAAAACTAATAACCAAACAAAATTCCAATGGCAAATCACATAAGCGTTTCCCTCTCCCTCCAAAGGAAAATGTTTCTCTTGAACCACAGGCACATCCAAAACAAAGAGAAAAAAAAAAAAGAAGAAAAAAAAACAGTAATTGATACAAAGATTTCTCTTTTCTAACTTTCCTCATCATTCCAACAACATCATCGTCTTTTACACCATAAAATCAGACGCAGCCTCGTAACGCCACCCAATGAAGGATTATTCAAGCCCATGAGTTCATGACCATAGATATAAGTGATTCCCCAACAAACGCATCTAGACTCCGTACGTAGTCGAAAGTTCTACTAGAGTTTATTTTAATAATTAGTTGGGGGCAATTCTGTGAATTCCATTTTTTCCCTTCTTATTTTTTGGGTTTCCTTCCTTAACTAGTATTGATCTGATAGGGGATTAAACAATCGTAATTCATTTTCAAGCCAGTGACTACTGATTGTGTACTTTTTATTATTGTCTTTAGATGAGAATCATCCAAAAAAAAAAAAAAATCAAGAAATATATATTTTTTCTTTCATTCTGGGTACTTTGGTGAAATTTCATGCATACATGAAATTGAATCATAATCCTTTTTTCCTTTTTTTTTTTTTTGAAAAAGTACAT